TAGGAACCACGTTAACCGAAACATAGGTTTTTCCAATTACTTTTAATGTAATTTGTTTAATCAAAAATAAGAATTCATAACGTTATCCAAACGCACTCGTACTTATATTAAAATAACTTACAAACTTATTATCCGTCGCTTCTTCTTGTATTTACCGCAGTCAATTGCTAGCTGCCCTTATTGTCCACACGCATATCACGATCCAACTTCCCGTTTTGGCTTCCTGCACTCTTTCGCGAAGTGCCCTGTACAGTTGCAATTGTAGCAACGTAGCCTTTCGTCTGTGCATGTAGTTGCTTTCAAACTCGACTGTTGTGATAGCTCAATGGTGCGAAATGCCCTTACCAAGTCGTTTGGTGTTGCGAATTTTGCTTTGCTTGAATTCGCAACTCCTTACCAGGTATTCCCTCGATTAGGTACTCGATGAACTCGTCAGCAATCACTTTTCGTTGTAATATTCGGAAAACGTTTCTTCAGATTTTCACCGTCGCCTTTAAAACTTGCGTCGCATCTCAAGTCTACCTTTGTGTTTTGTGAGCATAACCTTCATCTCGCTGTAAAGTTCGTCAACGCTGTTGGAGTACAATCTCCTTGAGTTTTACCAAGTTAATGCAGCACCCTTTACTGTGAAACGAATGACGATGCCCAACGTTGTGTCATCGATGAGTAATGCCGTTCGAAAATGCTGTGCCTGCGACTGCCACAGATCAAAATCATTGCCCCCGTTGTATTCCGGAATAATATCCTTTATTACGTCGAATGGAACTTCATTTGTCATCATTTTGGTGTTATTTTCTCGTATACATTTTTCTAGTTTCAGTAACTGGATTTCTTTTCTTAAAACCTCCAGTTCTTTGCGTTCCGTTAGGTTACCGGTAATAAGCTAGGCACTAACAGCGAACAAATCAGTCTCATTTGTTCGATCAGCATTTCGCCACTAACGTTGCACAAATCAGATCGGACTTGAACTTCGGCGAGTAAACAGGAGCAACGAGGCGGATGATGAGGTTGTGTGTTTGGTTATTTATGCGTGAAAAAAAAAAGAAAAACGCATAAAAGGAAGAAAGGGTACGAGTGAATTGTTCTTAAAAAAGAACAAAAAATTTAAATACCCTATAAACATTTTGGCGAACGTTCGAAAATGAAAATGACCTTTGATATCCAATATGCATATCGGACCGAGAACCAACTCATAACCAGTGTTAGTTTTCCAACCTTCATATTTTATTGGAAATACACTCGAGATGGGTTCGGAAAAAAATAAAAACCATAGTAACAAGAGAGGAAGTGAAATCTAGCTCATTTTCGAAGGGAAATATAAGACAATCGCTCTCTCTAATGAAATTTTCAATTCGATAATGGGCTGGATTTCGAATTCATAACGAAGGAAAAATACATTGGATAACGAAGGTTCCGTTTTGCTGGAGAATGGCCTAGTTCTCGCCTCGAATGCGCTAATCTATTCCACATTAGTTATCAAAGATGAGGCTCGAAAAAAGGATGGTTTTCCAATCATTTTCGAATTGTTAACCAAGTCCAATGTTTATTGGGTATGCTTATTTGCCAATTTGTTGGAATGTATTGGTTGAAATTTTTTCACAGTTGGTGTTTGCGTTAACCCAAATGAAATTCAATTTTAAAACTTTCTTATAGGGAAAAATATTTTCAAATCACATGCAATAAAATAACAAGAAAAAAAATTCCAAGCAAATCAGGCGTGAAGCGTAAGCGATTATGACCAGTGCAGTTCCTACATAAGTCATACCCAGTTCTGAGCACAACTGTGAGAGAATAACGGTGGGCTGGCTTTGGAAAATATTTCTGTCGATTAGGAGGTAAAACCAGAGTTGTGAAAAATGCATTAAATTTTTTAATTCATAGCATTTTAATGTAAATGAAAAGGATTAATGCATTAATTTTTGATATTTAAAGTAAATGAAAATTTCAATGCATTAATTTCGAAGAAATAATGCTAATGATTTTTTTTGTATTAACATTAAAATGTTTAAATGAATGCTATTGCAATAATTTATTGCATTAAAATTATAACAAGCATTAAAAACCTATTAACTAATTTTATTTTGAAGTAAAAATTCTTTGCTGACATTGAGGGTAGAATTTTAAGGTCAACAAAGATAGTGACGGACGTTAAGGCTGGTTTTCACTATGTCAAGTTCATTTTCATAAGACATCTAACAATGTTTAGAAGAATTTTTCTACAAATACACATAATATAATGAACCTGAAAAAACTATTAGTGATTATTTCAAGTCCTTCCAAACGAGGTTATTTATATTTTACTAGAAAAAAAATTTAATAGTTTTTAATAATGCAAACGAGCAAAAGTATTAAACATTTTAGTGCATTCAAATTTTTTCATTAGCATTCGCTTGGATAATTTAATGAAAAAAAATTTCATTAGCATTACATTTTTCAGAATTAATGCATTGAAATATTCATTCGCATTAAATTTCATAAATAATGCATTAATTTTTTACATTAACAGTATTGCTTTAAATACCATTAATGCATTAAAAATTAATGCATTTTTCACAACTCTGGGTAAAACTGGTATTACCTACATAGCTTAAAGGTAGAACTCTCCAATTTAAGGAATTACACATCAAAAGCTAAGATTCTACTGTTAACTGAAAAAAAAACAATATTTAAAATGCAAACCTAAACTTAATATTCTAATATATTCCTCCAAAGGATCTTCCATCGTCGAAAAGCCCTCAAGCTGCATTTTTTAATCCCACAAGAATTCTGAATTTTCAAAGTACCACAACGTGGTACTTTAGTGATATTTTTTTACAGTTTCTATCGTGGTAGTTTCGTCTACTTCCCTCTACTTCTCCAGCAGCTTATTCCAAATTGCATAATTTCAGAAAAAAAAAATCTTCTAAAAATCGCTTACTTACAATGACCTGCGATGTACGCACTTCAACGATTCAAAATACCCTGATATGACGAAATGAGTTAAAAGTAAACTGAAATTGCCACATGGGTTAATGTTCGCGAACTGCGCCACTAACGGTCGAACAAATCAGAAGAGTTTGAAAATTTTCAAATCCTTCTGATTTGTTCGCCCACCACGCCACTTATGACATCGAACATGAACAAATAAGACGGATTCGTTCGCTGTTAGTGCCTAGTTTTACTTTCAAGGCACATCGCACCATCGTCACCACTTTGTTCACACACTACCTCGTTGTTGCCCACATATGCCAGCTCTTTTGGAATTGCGCCTCTGCTGACGCTTATTTCCGTTACTGCACCTGCGTCGCAATTTTGTACGCTACTTCGCTATCGTCTAGTTCCGTTATTTTATCCCGTTGGTCGTAATTTTCACTCCGTTGCCTTTTTTGCTCACCGTTGTCTCTGCTGACCTCTGGACAACAGACGGCAGCGTTGATCTGGATCAACTCGGTAATTCGGAATTATCTCGGGAATTAACTGCAGTTGATCCGGTTAAGTCCAAGAGTTAATTCCCAAACTTAACTCGGATCAAGCGAATATTCGATGACAACACTGACGAATCTCAGAGAGCGTAGAATACAAAGAAAGTACAAAACTAGCATGGATATATACTAGGGCTGTGCGATTATTCGATTACTCGAGCAAGTTGGTTAATCAATTATAAGGTTAATCAATTACTCGAGTAATCAAGATTTTGATTACTCAAAACGATGATTAATCGAGTTAATTGAAATATGATTACTCAAAAAAAATAATTTTGCTCGTTAAGAGAGTTTGCTTTGGAAAATGCTTATTTTCTTTTTTACATTCTGTATAGAAAAAAATTTTTCGTTTAAATTTTTGAAAACAGAAACGATGTTCTCAGAGTATCAAGGAACTTCAACTACTTTATATGTAAGGAGTTGAAATGTTGATTACTCATTTTACTCGAAATGTTGATTAATCATAAAGCAAATTACTCAAATATTTTTGTTTTTGGTTAATCAAAAATCTTGATTACTCGAGTAACTGAACTTTTGAGTAATCATAATTTCCAATTAATTATTAGTTATTTACTTTATGATTAATTAAAATTTTGAGTAATCAATTAATCGCACAGCCCTAATATATACCTTTTCATCGGTAATGCAGTCACCATACTAATCCAGATAGGAATCCAATTAAAATTGAATAAGAACTTATTTGAATTAATACGGTGACTGCATCACCGACAACAAAGTGAATGTCCACGCTAAGTAATTTTGCTTTTTCTTTATGTTCTACGCTCCCTGAGCAAACAAAGCAGCCAACTACTTCATTCGCGGGAGCCGAGTGGTGAGGGCTGCGTGTTACAACCCTGCAGATCCCAAGTTCGATCCTCGGTTGGAGCGACTGCAAAAAAAATTGCTTTTGTTGTTACTTTAATTTTGTTTAATTTAATTTGATTTATATATTCAATTTTACTTTATTTTATTCTCGTTTGTTTTATCTTATTTCAGTTTTTTATTATTAGTTAAATTAATTTTTTAGAGTTTAATTTTACTAAAAAAGTCAAAAACAGCTAATAAAAACAATTTTTAAAAAATATAGTTATAATTGAATGAATAAAAGAAATTAAATGAATATTCTACTGGCCATGGGATTCGAACCTACGACCTCGCGGCTCGTAAATCCGCATGACTGTCATCTGTCAAGGCACAATTTCGATCAGATCAATTGCGGCGTTAATCCGGATCAACGTTGCCGCCCGTCTATGCCTTAACTTCCGCCGTCAGCTCGTTGAGCTTTGCCACCAGCGAAGCCTTAGCGCCGCTTCCGCTAATTCCCACAACTTTTCACCACTCCTTTAGCTGAAGTAGGGAGTATGTTTCCGGGTGGATCGTGTTTATTTGCATTTTTTTTTTTAATTTTACTTTAATTGTGGTCTCACTTAACTTTGATTGTAATCTCAAATTTTGTAATAAAATGTAGATTCACAGACCACTTCTGATGCAGCAGAATGGCTTCCACAGAAATATATAAAAACCAATAAAGACATCCGCTTCGATGATGAGGTATATCCGATATGCGATTTTTATTCAAGCGTCTTTTCTCTTGTTTTTGACAAAATGCTTAGAAATATTAAACAACCACACTATAATACACGTAACAATAACTTATGGCCTAGACAGAGTGTATTATGTTAATGAAATATAACTATTGCTAAAGTAAACACCTTCAACGTCATTCTTGACAACCTTGATTCTGAATTGCGGAAAAGATGTGAAGCATATGAAAGGATTCACGAAAAATGTACATTTATTACTGAATTCGGCAATGTAAATTTCAGTGAAATTCGTAAAAATCAGAACGTTTAAAAAAAATGTATAACTCGGACCTCGAATCTTTAGCACTTCCACGAGTTGCTCTGAAAACAAGTTGGAACGTAGTTATCCATCCGACCTTTTGAACAAACGTGTTATACCTAAACGAGGAGATAGCATATACGTAGAACATTCATTACATTAGCTGCGACGCAGAGCGATCATTTTCATGTTTGAAAAGGGTCAGTAACTATTTACGCTCATTTTTCATTCTTTTATACTTTTGAATGTAAACAAAAATTCCATCAGCTGTTCGTCTAACTTGCAAGTGTCTGCAAGTTTTCTGTTTGCGTACTATTCTGCTGGATGTTTTTTACCGGAGATTTTAAACGAACGTACCTAATAATTACACTTCTCTGACCTGCTCACATTATTTTTGGCGGACCGAATAAATATTCCTTCATGCATACACATAAATATGTACATATATGCATATGTGTGTATTAGAGTGGTCCACGAAATCCTTTTTTTTTTTAATATTATTCAGTGCTCACGCAAACTTGTGTTCGTTTTGCTAAAAACTGAAAGTACATAACTTTAAATTTAAAAAAAATAATACAATTTAGAGGTCGCTCAAGTCTATTTTTGTTTTGCTTAAAATTACTCGTCGCACAGGCATCAGCCACGCATCTAGATTCAGGTTCAATAATTTGCCGATATCTCGAGTAGTAATGAACGCGAAATCCTCTGCGATGACTCATTTTGTTCGCTAAGGTTATGGCTATACGTATCATCATTGACGCAAAATCAAATACATTTTTTCTAAGAAATAATCACATTTAAAGTTCAATTTCGGGTTTTTTATAAATTTTATTTTTTAACCTTTTTGACCGCAAATATCGTAAATAAAAACTCAATTTAATTTTGTAAATCAAATTTTTTGTTTATTTTCTACCGATGCATTTCGGTTGGCAACTGAGCAACCATCATCAGCCAGCGGGGTTTTTCTCTTTTTTTTTATTATTTATTCGTATTATCTAAACAGGTAAGAACCGGATCGAAAAAATAACTCTCCTAGTGTATTCAGAGGCCTCGAAAGCATATTATAAGATCTTACAACACTTAAATTTCCAGAGGAATTTCGCGTGCGCACGGATTGAAGGACGAGTAATTTTAAGCAAAACAAAAATGCGACTTGCGCTACCTCTAAGTTTTATTATTTTTTTTAAATCATGTTATGTACTTTCATTTTTTAGAAAAAGGAGCACAAGTTTGCGTGAGCACTAAATAATAAAAAAAAGGATTTCGTGGACCACTCTAGTGTGTATACGTCCCAGTAGAAATCGGTTGTATGCATTCATGAAGTATGCAAGTTAACGGCAGACCACACATAGCGGCACAGTAGTAAATATAAACAATATTTCTTCTTAATTTGTATCTTGCGGATTCATTATGCAATTTTGCAAACTCAGCAATAATGCAGCGGCATAATTGACGACTCATTTGATTTCTTTGTCAAAAATTGAAATTTGATATATTTTTTCCGCTCTGAATGGAAAATTCCATTCAAGAGTGTCAAATAACTTCTTTGTCCAAGACATTGGCATTTCATCATAGCATGATGCAATGCCAACGCCTTATTGTGAAATTAATTGTTAAATAAATATTGTAAATGCTACAAATAAGCTAAGATTGAAAATAAAGAGCAGTCTTTTTCCAAGTTCGGAACTAACTCAATTCGTGTTTTAATTAATCCGCGAGGCCGCGGATCAAAACATATTTTTTACTGTTTCCCAAACGGGGAAACATAATTGGCGCCCAACGTGGCGCTCGCGCGTTTCAATCAACGTAATAGGAGAAAAAACAAGTATCCTAAAGGATTAACCGCGAGAGTTTCGAATTCACAAAATAAAAAATCGCGCGTTTCAATCAACGTAATAGGAGAAAAACAAACAAGTATGCTAAAGGATTAGCCGCGAGTGTTTCGAATTCACGAAATAAAAAATCACGCGCTTCAATCAACGTAATAGGAGAAAAAAAACAAGTATCCTAAAGGATTAACCGAGAGTGTTTCGAATTTACGAAATACAAAATCGCGCATTTTAAAAATATCCTGAAAAGGATGAGCCGCGATAAATAAAGGCTTGGACAGCCAATAACATAAATAAAACCAATTTATAACTCAGCTCAATTCTGCGATTATGAATTCCAGACCCTCCAGAATAGAAGAGCCTCCCTTCCTAGACCTTCCTAGAAGGGATCACAAATAAAAAAAAAAATAAAAATTGATAACTACAATCACCAAGCAAGGACGATAACTTCAAGGGCGATAACTACAGTCACCAAGTAGGAACGACAAACAGTTTCACCTAGAGTTATCGCGGGATAATCAGCCATCAGCCAGAACATCAACAAGGATCAAAGGAAGCAGCCTTAAGTCATCAATAGCTTAGGAGTAAGTTTTATAAATATCTACATATATTAATTATATATATTATTGTGAATATTGTGTTAGTGGCTATAAAAAAGTGTGCCTGAAATGAGATAAAAAAATAGAACAACAATTAAGTAAATATGAAAGACGCTTTACCAGTAGGTTTAGACTATGATGAGATAAATGGAATTGTAGACAACTTAGAGTTTGCAATAAACACTCACGAGTAGTAATAGAACGATACGAGTACCCAGTACAGAATATCGATACTTTTCATGAGTACTGAGTAGTATCGAGAACTTGATACTTTTTCACAAGTACTGAGTAAATATCGCGAATGCCGAAAAGTATCGACGAGTTAAGAACTTTTTAAGTAATTTTTTTTTTAATTACTCAATAAATATTGTAGCGAACGTTCGCATATTAACTTCAATATCGAATGTAAATGTTATGCAAATGAACATAAAGCTCATTTACTTCAATACTGTCATAACCAGGGAACGGATTTTTAGGACCTAAAAACCTATAAAAAAGGCGAAATAAAATAACGAAATAGCTTAGAAAAGGCTAAAGAAAATAGCGAAAAAGGTATTAAAAAAAAGGCAAAACAAAATAGCGAAAGAGGCAGGAAAAGGCACTAGGTATTGCAAAAAAAGCAAAATAAGGCACTAAAAAAATACAGAAAATACGAAGATCAATCAAAAAATACATTTATTTTAGAAATGTTTATATTACAAGTAGAAAGAGAAAAACTATGAACTAGTTTCATTATATGAAAGATTTATACTTTGAATCTTTGAGTATTTTATCCTTTCGAGTTTCTAACGCATAAAACTTTAATTTGTATAGTTGTAGTAAGATTGAACCACAAGATGTATTTTGAAGTTTTTTGGCACCATTTTCATTCGATTTTCGCGAAGAAACGCCTTGAATATACTAAATGTGCGCTCGACGTAAGTTGATACAAGTGGAGCCCAATTTAAATATGGAACGTTTGAAACGTTCATATTATCAGGAATAAGGGCGTTTTCCTCGCCCTTTACAATTTTATCCACACCCTTTATTGTCTTTAAGCCCACGTTAGCTGAGAAAACGGCTTTGAATTTTTCCAACACCAATTTGGCAAGAGGTCCCTGCGCTTCTATAAGCCGCATGGGCATGTGTATATTTTTTAATCTTAAAAAAAAATTGTAAATGCTATAATAACTTTTTTAAAGGTAGAAAAGGCAAAATAAGTCAAATATCTTAAAAAAGGCAACATCAAATGTGTATATATGGAATCAGGGAAAGCTAAATCGTGGACATTTTTAATCGAATACCCCCTATCTCTTCAGCAGAAATAAACGCAATTACCATAAAATCCGTTCCCTGGTCATAACTTAAAAAAAAACGAAAACCCGAGAACACGCCTTTAAAAGTTTTTAATTCACATATCGTGACACTAATTCCAGGAGCATGAATATGCGAATTTATCAGTTTTGAAATATTGGGTTGACTTGGTTAATCCGTAAGAGTTAAGTTTCGCAAAAAAAACTTTCAAACTTGATTTCCCAAAATGTTAATTTTTACACATTCATGTTTATGGAATACGGGCGACGATATGTATACTCCCATACTAATAATTAATACATATTTGGTTTTAGTGAGCTACTGGTAATTGACACAGATAAGAAACTTTTACACACCCAAAAGAAAATGTAGCGGTCATTTCAACATTCGGGTAAAAATGTTTAAATAATTGAAAAACGAATATCTTGCCTCTCCTTTTTTATGGTGAAAGAGGATGGTCTTCTTACTCGACAACTTGGCCACTCTCCAGCATAAGACAGCCGTCGTTAACCCATGTAATCTACCATCGTTGTGAATTCGAAATCCAGCGCATTCTTTAAATTTTATGAAAGAGATCTTATCTTTCCAATAGAGAATGGGCTTCACCACATTTGCTTCTGGGATTCTACATTTGCATTTCATTTTCAAAGTAAGGTTATTTATAAATACATTTACGCGTCAAACAATTATAAAATATTCGCCTTTAAAAACTTGAAATAAGCTTTTTGCTATAAACATTTAATTTACGCATGTAAAACTGATCTGCGCCAGCAGATATAAATGTGTTTTGGAAGGATATACTAACTGACGAACAGAAAGTGAAGTGTATAGAAAAAGTTTTCAAATTTATTAGTAAAAATAAAATAGCGACTGCAGCGGACTACGATAATAAAGAAACCCTCGAAGAGGAATCAGTGACAATGATTCGAAAAATAAATATAAAATACGGCTTGTACAGCCAATAAATTACCAAAAATGTCGGTCTATAACATAAGCTTAATTCTGAACTCCAGACCCTCCAGAGTATAAAAGCCTCCTTTTCTAGAAGGGATCAACAATAAAATAAAATATAAAAAATACGAACGATTGTGTTATTGCGAATACTGCCACGGGGCTCACAAAATAAGTAACTGCCCATACATTAACAAAAAACGTTAGAAGACAAAAGAATAATAAGTTTTTTTAAATACGGAAAACAATTAAAATACTAAACAGATATATGGCGAGCTTGACAGTTGATCTTATTACAAGATTAATCGCTAATAGCAATATCGGGCTAAGGCAAGCAATTGAACATTTACGTTCACAATGAGAAGTAAATACTCGTAGGGCTACAGATTATGAAGCCGAAACAATTAATGAAAATATGTCAGGAGTCCCTTGACGTGATAAAATCACTACCCGAATTTTTGGAAAAAATAAAAGATATGTTAGCTGGAGAGAAGCAGCTCATAACGCAATGAGCCTGTTCGTGAGAGGCAGTAGAAAATACTTCGCGGCTCTTACGATTTTGAGAAACAAAGTAACTCAGGACGCGAATGATGCCCTAACAAACCCCGGCACCGTGTTAAATTTCGATGCGATGGTCGCTCGCCTTGACTTCGCGTACTCGGACAAACGCCCGATACACATTATTGAGCAGGAATTAAGCGTACTTCGACAAGGCGTAATGTTGGTTGTAGAATATTGCAACCTGGTCAACAAAAAATTGACTTTATTAATAAACAAAATAACGACACGTGTCAATGCATCGCATATAACTAAAGAGCTTAATAAGAAGAATAGGAATCACGCCTTAAGAATTTTTATAACAGGACTCAATGCGCCCTTAAGAGATATATTTTTTCGCTTAACCCGCAAGATTTGGCAAAAGCACAGGAGCTCGAATCAAACAATCAGAGAGCATTATTTGCGCAAAATTCTGCAAATGAAAAAATAAGAGCTAGCCATAGCTTTCGTCCGCAGGAAAAAACCCAAAGGGTAAACAATTTAACCGAAAGTCATTTTTTTAGAGGAAGAGGGGAGGTCCTCCCCTACATCAACCTGTAGGATGCCAAACTAGGCAAATATTTAAAAGCTCTTGTTGATACAGGGGCTACATCATGTTATATTAGGCAGGGGGTATATGAAAATAGGAACGACTTACCCATTTACAAAAAGGTTAACACCGTGAATGGTTATTCAATCATTAAATATTACCATTTGATAAGCCTATTTGGAGTCAAACTGTTTTTTTATGAAATAGAAAACATGGAATTCGATATCCTTTTGGGGTAGAGAAAATTTTTTATAAAATAAAAATTGATACCGAATGTATCGAAAATAGCATGAACATTAATATTCATGCAAAAAAAAATTTTTTTAACGTGTTATTTAAATTGATTTTAACTTTTTGAAAAGATGGCAACTCTCTAAAAATATTTCAACAATAAAGCATTCTCGTTTGATACCCACATTAAAATATTTCGTTTAAACTTTTTAAAAGAATTGATTTTAACTTTTTAAACAGATAGCAACCGTGTTAAAGTTTATTTAGTTATCAATTAATTGACTTTTACTTTTTTAACAGGCGGCAACCCTATTACAAAATTCTTCCGAAATATATAGTTTCTGAACCGCTTTCGCTTGCTAATAGTTTGTTAAACTTGTTAATTAATCGGTTTTTACTTTTGAAAGAGGTGGCAACTCCAAAAAATATTTTACATGTCAGTATGTTATATCTATATTCCATATTTAATTGAAATATATCCAGACGTTTTAGCGTAAACGAGCAACAAACATACTCACTCACAAACTTTCACATTTATTATATTAGTACATATGTAGGATTAGTGGAATTTAACTTAAATAAATCAACCTGTTGAAATAATGTAATGAATGATGTGTAAAATTCGTGCGAATTTTACACATCATTCATTACATTATTTCGATATTTTTTTTTCGACATTTTTATTTTCGACATTTTTTGTTTTCGACATTTTTCTTTTCGACAATTTTTTTTCGACATTCTTGATTTTCTAACTATTTTTTTTCGACATTTTTTTTCAGGGTTTTTAGTTTCGACAATTTAAATTTCGACATATCGTACCAGACCCCGTTTGAAGGAACTAAATACTACTCGTATAAAAACACAATTTTACGAAATGAAAATAACATTTAAAATGAGTTTTTTTGCATAATTTGGATCACTGGACAAGAATATGATCTCCTTTATTTTTCCAAAAAGAGCGTAAGTCAGAAAAAACATAGGTAACATATTTTTCGATCGAAAGCGTTTATTACAGTTAAATTAGGGTCGAATGCTGGTAATCTACCGATTTTTTTCGCAGTAGACAACTCTTTCCAATACTACAACAATACTACTTTTTTATACACATACTACAACAACAAGAAAGTTATAACACATCAAAAGCTTTAATGCCAATATCTCTGAAAGTAGTTTTGACAGAAGCAGCTTCTGTTCATCTAACTCATCCCATCTAACTCCCCAATTATTAGGGATCAAACAAATACAAGTTGATTTTCCTCAGTATTTTTTTTAATCTGTCTTATCCTGAGTTTCGCCAGAAAAAAAATTCACCCGAAAATTTGTCATCCGCCCATAGTAAAACCATGGAAACTAACAGTGAAAAGTGAACCAGGTCGGGGAAAATTAAACTCATGATAAGGCTGAATATTTTAAACAGACTTTCAATAACGAGCAAACACTTTTTTTTTGCTAATTTTTAAATTCGTAAGGTATTTTATTCTGGGTTCCCACTTACGTATACG